AATTGTCCACTTTGGTGGCTTTGGAGAAAACACCCCCGGCCTTGCGGAAATTGTGCTTCTCCTCAATGTCGGCATTAAGAAGAAAGAACATTCTGGAACGTTCCTGCATAATGTTGAGCCGATGCGAACATGCCTTAATGCAGGTGGTGTTCCCAACAGTTAGTCGTAGATGCTGCACATCAGACGCAAAGGTGGACCACGATTGCAACGAGTACATGGGCGAAACATCATGATCGGACAGTTTGTAGACACCGTTTTCTTGGGATATCCGAACACGAGACGGTAACGGAGGCATCTGGATTCGCCCATTCACCTTCTTGTAGCGGGGTCGCATACGCAGCGCAGCCTCAATGCGCTCGTGAACTTTGCGCATGTCCACTCCACCGTCATCACCGTCTATAACAACCTTGAACATGTGGGATTCCTGCAGCTGATACTTTAAAAACTTGGCGTTGCCATGACTAATGGTAATTTTGTGCCGCGATAGCCGCCGATTCTCCCCCGCGGCAGAATGCTGCAAGTGATCTTCCTCGCCATACTCATTCGTGGAATCCAGGCGAAAACTCGTTGCCCTGGACATGGCTCTTCCGTATTTGATTTCGTTGAGGAAACAGGCAAATGCCTGTTTTCCTCCTCCGCTGTTTGTTGTGTTTGCCTTCTCGCCTTTTTGCGTCCCGCACACACACACAAACACACACGCCTCCTCTCCCTGTGGGGCAAAGATATCACACGCAAGAAAAATGCAAAAAGAAAAAAAAATAATAATAATAATAAATAAATAACAACAATGAAATTAATTGCAGCAAAAAAAAAAAAAACACAGAAAGAAAAATTTGATTGGAAATCACGCCCAAAGAAAAAACAAAAAAGAAAGAGAGCTGCACACAGTTATATATATATATATATCCACTAACCGAAGCGTACACAAGAACACCAATAAAAAAAAAAAAATCAATAGTAATAAGGCCGCAACCACGGCAAATATATAAAAAAAACAACAATAATTAGACGTAAAAGTAAACTCCTCCAAAAAACAAAAAGAAGGAGAAACAGGCTATACAAGAAATGCACTACGAATAACAGCCACGTCACATTCTACATTTCATTACTCACATAACGCGACCCCCCGCTATGCGATTGATAACGCCAGAATCGCAAAAGCATAATAAAGAAAATAGCTCCATGCAGAGACCAAAGAATGGAGGAGATCAAGAAGGGGATAAATACAGGAGCATTATGTGTTAGTCCCAGTGTTATTATCCACCCACATCCTCCAAAACCAGACAAGCCGACCGCCATCCATACGTCAAAAATCAAACCAACAAGCAGCCCAAAATATGACATCAATTTCCTAGACTGCGAGGAATCCTTCGTCGCGCAGTAAACATTGTAGTACCACACAACAAATGCACCGGGAATTCCCAAAAGATACAGGAAAGAAAGTGCAAATTGCATGGTGCTTCCTCCCATTAAAAAATTCACAAAAGCGCACGCAATATTGTAAATAATCATTACAATTAAGCATATATACAACGCGCACAGAGTATACATAAAACGCTGTAAGTGCACGGGTACTTGCTCCTTGATGTTGTGGTATACCTGTGGCCTGATGCACAAAAACGCTGGAGGGAAATTGGGCGGTGGTCCCACCTCCGCGGCAATACTACGCTGTCGTCTGCGTATGCTCTCGCGACGTTCCTCCAGCTCCTTTTCCTTTGCCTCCACCATCGCTAATGTGAGGTTTGGCGGCGTCGAATACGAGTTTGCTTCGAGCATCTTTCCTTCTTCCTCCTCTTCTTCTACTTTTTTTATTGTACCCTATTCGAGAAAGGCGTTTAGCGCCCCCTACTCTTCCTTCGCATAAACGATACGAAGGAAAACATCCAAAAGAGAAAGTTCATCACCGTCATCGCTACGGCTGCTCTCGTTGCAAAAAGATCTTACCAGGAAACAAACAAACAAACCCACTTTAAGACCACCACCAAGCCATCACCAACCCAAGACTCGAATACTTCATGCTTGTTGCCCTACGCCAAGGAGAATACGCCGCACAGCGGCCACGCCTGTGACCGCAAACCACAGATGAACTTCCCTACGATAGAGACATTCACAGCATGCAGAATAAAGAAGTGCAATAAGAAAGGCTGTTGCTGTTGACGGTGAAAGGCACGCTTTTACATGTGCTGTAATGCCCAACAATATCATCACTGTACGCATCAGATGGTATAAATACACTGAGCAATATTCATCTTTAATCCCAGCGGCAGAGGGGGAAAAGAACGTGCATACACAAACAAGCAAGCTCAAAAAATTCAAAACAATTGCACCCAGTATCGCCTGAAAACACAACCGGCACGTCAGAAAAGTCTATCACATGGCGCATGGCCCCAAATGAAATTGACTTGTAGAATGTCAGAAATATTTCCACCAAATGAAATTGATTAGACCCTAGCAACCTCGCCTTCTCCCTTTAGTTCTTCAGCTTCCTGGTCTTGTGACAGTAGAATCCAAGAGAAACTTACACCTCCTTTGGTTCGCTCCCATCTGAGATCGCATTGACCACAACACTCTCAACACTAAGCTTCCGAAACACTGCACATGGCACTCGTATTTCCCTCCACCCAAAGCCGTCAACTCGTTATAAAAACGCAGCCCCCTATGGACTGAATTCCTTCACAACCACCAGGGGACCCGCAGGGGGTGATTTTGTAGGAAATACCCCTACCACAATGCCTACGGCAAGAGCTGAAGCCGATGTCATCTTTGCCTCTCTAATTTCATGTGGTTCAGAGAAGTAAACGCGTAAAATAATAACGGATTCGAGGCAACGATACAAATAGACACACACAAAAAAAAACAAAAATAAATAAATAAATAAAACGCGTGTATCCACACATGCAATACATCACAACTTCAATCCATATCAATACCCTCCAACCTTTTCTTTTCCGTTTTTTTCCCCACGCACCTTGGGCTATGTTAGAAACCATCCCTTTTAAAGCCCTCGACAACTTCCACCGCGGCATCATGCATGGGAGAACAAAAAAAAAAAATACAGCGAATATTAAATTAATAATAATAATAATAATAATAATAATAATAATAATAATAATAATAATAATAATAATAATAATATAAATAATAAAGGATTATATTTCAGTAAATCCAGCAGAAACAGCGATGGCAAAACAAAAATTAATCTCAGGAAAACATCTTCTTCAATCCTGCAGCCAATTTGGCGGTACGAACCTTCTCTGCTTCCTTCGCCTGCTGAAGCACTGTCACAATTTCAGTGTTATCAGGATCCAACTTCTGTGCCTTTGTAAAGTCTGCCACGGCAGATTCAGAATCGCCCGCACTGAGAGAGGCAAATCCGCGGCGGAACAACGCCTTGGCGTTGGAATTGTCCAGCTCAAGAACCCTCGACGCGGCATTCCTCGCCTCTGACCACTGGCCCAACTTTATTGCACATGCAGCTGTGTTGTTGTAGCAGGCAATCAATTTCTCATTAACAGCCACATCGTTTGCAGTGGTTTTGTTAATTGTCTTTACGAACCGTGCGGCCTTTTCATACTTCTGTATGGCGTTTTCAAAATCCGATGCCTTAAATAATTTGTTACCAATCTGCCGTATCTCCTCCCCCACATCAAGAAGCTCTGCATCTGTCAGTGATGGAGTGCAATCCTCCGGATAATCTGGGAAGGTGTCCCCCCCGACCTGAGGTTCCGGCTCAGGAAGTGTATCTGTGACCCCGCAATCAACTATCACGCACGGTTTTACGGGCTTGTCATTCGCACCAGTTTCGGTGTGCTCCAGAGCCCGAACGGTATTCATCCCACGAACCACCTTGCCAAACACAACATGTCGACCCGTAAGGTGTTGTGCTGGATTCACAGTGATAAAAAACTGGGAACCGTTGGTGTTTGGTCCGGCATTTGCCATCGCAAGCAAACCAGCCTTGTCGCAAGGTACATCAAAGTTCTCATCATCAAAGCGTTCGCCGTAAATGGACACACCGCCTGTACCATTATGCTTCGTGAAGTCGCCACCCTGAATCATAAAGCCAGCGATAATCCGATGAAATGTACTGCCCTTGTATGTCATTGGTATTTGCGTCTCATCTGTCAGTTTGCCCTCATTGCCCGTGCAAAGCGCCCGAAAATTGGCACATGTCTTTGGTGTAATGTCGTCAAACAGCTCTAGAAGAATGTTCTCCTTTGCTGGCTTACCACCAATCGAAACCTGAAGCCAACAGAGTTTCCCCATGTCCGTCTTCCCAGCAGCTCAAATGTATATATATATATTTATAACAATTATTTTGGGATTTTCTTTCTTTCTACAATTCCTCTTAAACCCAAACCAGGTGACCCGTCGACCAAAAAGAGCAATAAAATAAAATAAAATAAATATATAAATATATCAAGAAAGAATAAAGAACAGAAATAACCCTTAAACTTAAATGCTCAACAAGCGCCTCTTTCTTTCATTTCCATATATATATATATATATATATTTCTTCAGGTGCTCCTCGGCGTCTATCAGATGCGTCTTTTGCGAACACAACCGTGTCCACTTCCCCCAGTCGACCAATAGCATTAAAAAAATTAGCATATACTCTATGAATAAGATACAATAGTTCGTAAAAAAACATAACAAAACAAAAAAGGGAGCAGTCGCTCTATCGTATGACCTCCTCCTTTCCATGTCATGCACTCTTCCCTTTTTCTCCTTTTTTTCTTCTGGATTCATAAAATGGAGTTCCCTTCATGTTTGTTGCTCTTAATTCATACATTTTTCAGTTGTTTTCTTTGTTTCTTAAAAAAAAAAGAATTTTTTTTTTTGCTTTTATTTCTTTCCTTCTCGCTCGTCCTCTATTCGGTGAGTGCTTGCCGAAAAGCGGGAAAGAAGCACTCGCTGCGGCGACATCTTCCGTGGTACATCAAAAGAAATTGGTGGAAGCAATAGTACAAAACACACACACACACAAACATACAGACAGGCAGGAAAATAAAGTAACATAAAATGGCGGGATGTCCCCCATCTAGAGAACAAAGGTTTGCATGCCGAGACAACAGACAGATGCCAGAAGAGCGGCGGCAAACTCGTAGCCACATTCTGTGAGCAGAAGTGGCAAAGGTCGTTGACACGAGAAAAACTGGTGCTGGTTGATGCATGTAAGCAGTGCAACCACCACCCCGGCCGTCTGGTAGTCACAGAGTCCCTTGCCATTGCAAACAGTGATAATCGTGTGAACGGCGACGGCTCGGGCGGCACCGGCAGCAAATGTGGTGATGCAGCAAAAAACAGGAGAGTATCGGTACACTATGTGCTCCACCCTCCGCACACCCTTGTCGGCGGCAAGATAGTAGTCCGCAACTGTCTTCACGATGAGACCAAACCAAACCATTGAAAACAGCTGTTGGACCAGAGCAGCCAAAAGAATCGTCCAAGGGTCCATCCGCATAATTGCCTCACAGATTAATGCGCTCAGAGTCATTGGTGTGGTCAAAAGTATGCGTGAATAATGCAATAGGGACAAAAAAACAGCACACACACACACACACACACACAAAGATAATAATAATAATAATCCTTTCCTTCTTTTTCCTTGGCAGCGTTTTATTTGTTTTTTGTGGAAAGGATGAGAAATTTAAAAAAATGAAAACATATATATATATATATATAATCACAATAATAATAATAATAACAATAATAATAATACATAAATAAGAGAAAACATTATTGTCATCAGGCAACACAACCCGATAATAAACCACAGAGGCAAAAACAAGAAAGAAAAAGAGGAAAATGGGCTGTTGTTGGCAAACAGACAATCTCCCAAAGAAGTGTAGGGTCAATTGACATCATTCATCCCATTGGAGAAAACACAAATGAAAAAACAACAACAACAACAACAACAAAAAGCACCAAAAATAAAATATTATACATGGGTGGAGAGGCACATCTTTTTCCTACAAAAAACTTCCTTTGGGAACATAAGCCTGTTGTTGTTGTTGTTGTTTCTTTGATATCCTTTCTTCCATATTCTTCAAATTTAAGTCTACATCCCGTCACTGGGACCCATCTGATGCAAAAGCACCACTAATGACAGAAGCCTCTTCGCGTAACCACCATCAATATCAAACCATAACAGTAGTTTTTGCGCCTCCCCATCACGCAGAGAACAGGAACCTGTTGCGTCGTAACACAGCTTACCATTTGGCACACAGTCGCAACTAATGAGGTCCTCTTTTGAGTAAGAAAGCACTCCGTTGAGTCGACCTGAAGCAGCTTCCTTCAGAGCTTGATCCAACATTTCCTTCGAGACAGGCTGGCTCAACCGGACCAACATGTCCACGGCACATCCTTTTTTCACGGGGACCTGAAACGCAGTTCCTGAGATGCGTCCCACAAGACCTGGGAAAATTTTATCCATAGTCTTTTTCCCGTTGTCGATATAAGGAACAATGTTGTCAATACTCACTCTTGTTTGGCGCCAGTCTTGCGGATTTTTAGACCTTCCTGCTGTAAGCTCCACTGGTCTCATACCGTGAATGGCGGTGTAGGAGCACTCTTCTAGACCGTATTGCTCATGCAGCAAACGAATGAGAGGAGCGAGGGCGACTGCAACAGGGGAGCCAGCACACACAACGGAACACGCACTTTTCAATTCTTCGTCATTTGCACCAGCAATGAGAGTTGGGGCGTCCGCACTCTGTCCTGCAACAATGACGCCTTTGGCACCTCCTGCAACATGTCCCCAGCAGCGTTCTCGCGTGGAGCTTAGTCCCGTGCACTCCACCACGTACTGCACCCCGACATCTCGCCATGCAATCTCCACAAGATCATGCTTATGTGAAACACGGATTTTCTGAGAACCCTGGATGCAGATAAACTCCCCAACCACCAACACTGAGGCTCTGTCCCCTGCAGAAAGAGAGCTTTCGCGCCGCAGCAAGTATGCAATGTAGTCAATACTCATGGAAGCATCGTTTATCGCCACCACGCTCACTAAAGGGTCCGTGAACGAGGAAAAAAGAACGGCCTGCCCAATTGGCCCAAAGCCATTAATGCCCACACAAACCGGCAAGACAACATCCTCCATCCTTATCACTCTTCTCCAATGGCAAAAAAGCAACACTGTCCGTCGTAGCCACCGCAGAAGCAGCAGCGGCATCACAAAGCCAAGAAAAAGAAAACGAAAAATAAAATAACATGAAATAAAGATACAGAAAAACAAATACACACACAATAATAATAATAATAATAATTTAATAAAAAAACAAAATATGCGTCTGGATGAAACCTTTTCACATTTACCCCGAAGAAGAAAGAACACAAAAATGGGAGGACAAATTTTCGTTCAATGTGCCCTATATTGCTCACCTCAGAAAAAATTCATAGAACACTCACATCAATAAACAAATTCAAATGGCATACATGCTACAAAACCCGGGCACGTTGCGAACGCACATAGCGGCATTCTCTTTGCGGAACCGCAACCACCGGATTCCCCCGCGTGGAGGGCAGCGGATAGTTTGTAGAACAGAAGAGGAGAAAGAGCTGCGCTCGATGCCTTCAAACGCGGTTTCCCTGGAAGCAAAACTAAAGAAATAAAGAAATAAAAAGCGGGTTAAACAAGAAGTGCTATCATTTACTTGTCCCCATTTGGTCACACATCCTTTGCATAGGTTTCTAGGACCAAAAACACACGCAAATGTACAAAAAAGGACATTCTGTCCACGTACTCGAATTTGTTGAAGGTTCACCTTTTCCTCAATAAAAAAAAATCATCAACAAATAACAACAAAGCGGCGAAAAGGAAACAAGCAATAATTGTAAACAAAATCCCAAACATACATAAATAAATAGGTAAGTGTGTATTATCCGTACGTGTACCATCAGGCCAATCCCAAATAACCCCTTGACCCTCCCCCGTTGTCCAAAAACAGGAACAACAGACCCTTTCCCTCATTTGGTGGAAATAAAGAAGCCTTAGCCATGAATATGTATGTATTCTTATTGATTTAATTATTTTACCATGCAATGCGGATTAAAGCAATGAGAGCTTTCTTTGAAAATGGCAATTTTGGCTTGATAGGTGCATAAATAAATAGATCAAAAAAAAAAAAAAAAAAAAAAAAAAAATTCTTTTTTTTTTTTTTTACTGGTAAAAAGGCTGGAAATGAGGCAATTTTATCCCACATGTTGCCCAGTTTTTACCCTTTAACCCATGACGGCTTTTTGTTTTTCACTTTGTGCCGTTTACTTTCTTCTTTTCTATCGGTGGCAAACGTAAAACCTTGCAATTAACACTCCGGTTATCAGAGCAGCAAACGATGTGGCTGTGCATACCCATCCAAATGAAGGTTTTTTCCAATCCGATTCCCTAAATGTCTCCCAGAAGTAAGTTCCATCAGCTGCAAAAGAATCTTCCATGAACACCATGTAATTCCCGCGCTGCACTTCCTCTGCAGAAAGCAGGAGGCAAGTATGTTTTCGCCCACACGACACAGTAACTACATTTGCTTTTATCGGGAGAGGAACCTTTGTGAGCCTTTCAACATATGGGATGACACCAACACCAAGCTGCCCGTCTCCATTGCGCCCATAAACAAACAAACTGCTTCCTCCATCTGTCCACGCAAAGACGTTATCGTCCCCTGCTGCAAGTCCCGTCGGTTTAGACAGTTTAAATGACTCAATTTTGTTGGAAAGGACAATACAACGCTTTCTTTCTACTTGATAACATAAAGTGTGACGACGACCGCAGGCCACAAGTGAAACACGCCCCACATCTCGTATGGGTCTCCATGTGTATGTACAACAATCAGCTATTCCAAGCTGACCATCACTGTTACTCCCCGCACCCAAAATATCACCTGTTGTAGTTACAAGAATTGCAAAGTTTACAGATGCAACTACAAGGGCAATGCGCGTTCGCGAGGAGCCAACGGAAAGACGAGTTGGCACGGCCAATGTAGGTGTGTGCCATACTTTGGGGCCAAGCATACCGGTTGTTGTTTCTCCCCAACCAAAAAGATCACCAGCATCCGTTATGGCAAACGATGTACGTGCACCACAAAAAACATCTCGTGCAGTTTCATCAAGAAGTACTCGTCTAGGCTCATAGCATTCACCATGGTACGTACCATCTCCCCGTTGTCCACAAGAACCTTCTCCGCAGCCGTAAATCTGCCCCGAAGAAGTTAAAAAAAGAGAGTGGGATTCTCCACAGGAAACCTTCACAACACGATCATCAAAACAAGTGTTAATTAAAGTAGGGTAGTTGACAGTTGGCGCAGCCAGCGCGAGTTGGCCAGATTCATTACGTCCCCACCCGTAAACACTGCCGGATCTTGTCAACGCCAAGGTGTAATGAGCTCCACAAGAAATCTGAACAAAATCACCTTCAATGCTCAGGACCTCGAAAGACGAAGAGTCGCCTTCACGGCCCAGCTGAGCATGATGATTTGAGCCGGCTGTCGCTAGAACGGGCATCTTTTAGTGAATAAAAATACAAATAAAAAATAAAACCGCTGACAAATTAAAAATGCACAATAATCACCTCTGACCG